TCTGAGTGGGTGGCCTACGACCATGTCATCGGCATACTTAACATACAGGCAGTCGTTTGGCGATCTCAAATCATCAGTATCAGAAAGAAGCAAAAACAGGGAACAACCGGTGGCGAACGCAAGCGCACCAGACGACCTACTGAGTCTGAACGCAGGTGGACGCGAGCACGTGGCTGGAACGCACGACGGTGACGAGGCCTGCCAGCCCGACGTCAACATTGGCGTGGCAACTACTGTTCACGCATTTGTGGGCAGGTGTGAACAGGGCATGAAGGGCGGACAACAAACACGGACAATGCGAACGAGATCAATGGCCGCGGTCACCCCGACGCCGCTCCCCCCCCCCGCAAAAGGATTACAAAGAACCGACGCTACCATGACAACAATCACCAACCTCCGGGGTGCAGCCCGTGCAGATGGCCTGGAAGTCAGAGACAAATATAGTGAAGGGGCGTGCGCTACTTCCAGCTATGTAAGCTCGTTTGCTTTCGAGGCGTCAGGGTAATAAAATCATGGTTTTTGTGATCGTCTTACCGTCCTGAACTGAATAAGTTCTAAGCTTCTTCGCTTGATTCTTCTCTGGAGTTCATATACCAGAAACCGTATACGGAACGCTGGGTGACACACCGAGGAGTCGAACCCCCTCGCAGCTGTGTCATGCAGCGGCAGAATATCGGTGGAACACGTGTCTGGGCTTTTAGTTAGTACCTATGTCGGGAGTACGGTATAATATCTTTACCATATGGAATTCATGCTACTCGCAGTACTATTTGTTTGTAGAATGGGCATTACGTGGTTATTCCACAGTAGTGTATTGTCTTCGACTCAAATGTTCATTGAAATTTCGGGTCTGAAATTATTACCTTGATTATTCTCTGGAGTGCATATACCAGGAGCGTAAAGAGAAGGCAAGAGGACCACTGGGGAGCCGAACCTCTCGCAGCTGTGTCACACAGCGGCAGAATATAGGCGAAACACGTGGCTGGAAATGCTGGGTTTCTGAAATCAGAGACCGAAATTTTGGGATCATTGTGTGGATGACACCTTCGTCGTCATCGAACGAGACCAGGTGCTGACATTCAAAGAAAGTCTTGACGCATACAATTTACGATGGAGGAGGAAGGAAACACTCAACTGCCATTTCTGGATGTCCTCGTTTACCGCAAAGATTGTGGTGGCGTAAAAACCAAAGTGTTCAGGAAAGCGACAAACGCGACGCAAGTTCTGAATTTCAACAGCAACTACCCGATCAGTCACAAATGCGGTTGCGTAAGGGAGCTATGCCGGCGCGTTGAGACGCATTGCAGTGAAACAGAAGACAAGGTTGCTGAATTGCAATATCTTGGACGGGCACTGACGGATAATGACTACCCACACAACTTTGTCAACCAGTGCGTACGCAAGCGACACCAGAGGCCAAATCCAACCAGCCCCTCAATTTTGGCGAGTTCTTCCATACATGAAGAGAGTCTCAGAAGTCGTCAGTCGCCTTCTCACTCCACTTCAAATTGGTGTTGCAATCATCAGGCTTGAAAGGACCCGCCGCCACGGCAGAAAACGTCTGGAGGTGTTTACCGGATCTGGTGCAGATGCAGACAGAGCAACGTCGAAGAGACTGGAAGGATACTCCGAACGTGGATGGCTGAGCACGCAGCAGCGGTGAGGAGGAAAGACGCTAGTTCTCAGGTGGTGGCCCATTCCACGGGACCCAGTCATATTTTCGAGTTTTAAGAGGCCTAAATCCTCGCAAGGGATGACGACCGCGTGAGCCGCGAGCTGCTTGAGTCATGGTTCTCAGCCCCCAAATCCGTCAACGAACTGAATGACCTCCCGTTACCATATTCGATGATGAGACTTTTACTGGACAGGGGAATCGGTCTCGTGGGGACGGTGCGGACAAGCGACAGTTCCGGTGGCACCAAGCCAAACTGCCCAGTAACTATCACGTAAACATCCAGCTTGGATGATGAAATTGTGACAATTAACGACTCGGACGCGGACGGACGGACCATTATCTCATCAGTTATGACCCCCAGTGGTGATAGAGAGAGAGCTGTTAATTATAGTACGCATGTGGTCCCACGGTAGCTACGTGCTATACATACTGCAGTCTTTGTGCTTCCACTACCCTTGTTTCGGTCGTACTTGATGATGGGTTCAGGTGAGAATCCGAAACCTCAGACCAATAAACCTGTTCCAGTGATGGCATCTTCTCCTTCTGATCGCTAATCTAACCGCCGGTTCGTAAGAAAGGATATGATTCTGAGATTATCCTAGCTTATGCATGCAACTATTCTGCAGCTCACAAAAGAAGCTGCGTCCTAAATCTGTTCCGCCGGACCTACAGCAACGATCTCATTAAGGAAGAGCTTACCTACAGTGCGTGACCTATCTCATGAACTGTTGGCTGAAATTCTGAAATGCGTTTTTGATTAGGAAGGATTACTTGGTCGCGGTTGTAATACTGATTATCTTAGGGCATACTCTTATAACATTTTAGACTCGGCAGGATGTCGGCTTTTAAATGCACTTCTTTTCAATCTCCTGTAGAAAGCGTGCTCGGTAAAAAATGACTACTGAATTAGCATGCATTTTTCCCATTGATTTTCGATGGTCTCGGAAATTCAAATATATTTTATAGAAACCACAAACAAAAATATGCTTTCTTTTAGTCAATCAATAGAGAATCACGTCTTCTTTATATTTTTTACTTAAGGAAGGAGTATAATTAGGTTTTAAAAAAATTTCTTATTATGAGACTTTTTAAGACCGCGATATGTCCATTCACGTAGCATCGTACCTGGAGGTTTACCACTGGTTCCCATGAAATGTACAACATGGTCCGCATCCATTGCAAAATTTTATGGACCCTGTATGATATCTCTTCAATGACATAGAAAAATATGGGATTTTCTTTACGTGGAACGCATGCACCTTGTAGAGTGTAATCACTTAGCGCTAATGCAACGAATGACCAGGCTCCAAATTATTCGGAAATTAGAAAACTTTTTTAAAACCTAATTATACTCCTTTCTTAAGTATAAAATATAAAGAAGACGTGATTCTCTATTGATTGACTAAAAGAAAGCATATTTTTGTTTGTGGTTTCTATAAAATATATTTGAATTTCCAAGACCATCGAAAATCAATGGGAAAAATGCATGCTAATTCAGTAGTCATTTTTTACCGAGCACGCTTTCTACAGGAGATTGAAAAGAAGTGCATTTAAAAGCTGACATCCTGCCGAGTCTAAAATGTTATAAGAGTATGCCACAAGATAATCAGTATCACAACCGCGACCAAGTAATCCTTCCTAATCGAAAACGCATTTCAGAATTTCAGTCAACATTTCATGAGAAAGGTCACGCACTGTATCTGCATCAAATGTTTCGATACAACGGATATCGGATAAGTTTAGTAAAGAAGTGTCCTAAGCACCGCACACAGTCGCAAGAGTCCGCCCCCAATGGGGGAAACCGTGACTCGAAAATTCTAATCTCTGCCTCATACACGGGCATTCAAATCGTTAAAGCATTCTCAATGCTTAAAAACCCGCATCCAGTCTCCCTTGTCTTTGTCGGTAATGCCATTCTGCCTATATATCATGCGTCGCTGTGCGGCTGCTGGTTGGGCTCGAGAGAGAACCCGTAAGGCACAACGGAACGAGTGAGTTCCGTAAGAACGATCGGTGGGCGCCCCCTACCATATATACATACCATATACAGCATACCTTGCCAAGATTGCGGTGCAAGGTATGTTGGGGAAACGGGCAAACGCCTCTGCACAAGATTGCACGAGCACCAGCTTGCAGTCAACCGCGAGGATAAGCTGTCACTGGTATATGGCCACATACAACAGGAGAAGCACAGTTTCGCCTTTGGGGAGGCGAGCGTCATCGGCCGAGCGAGCGACAAGATGGCCAGACTGGTTCTCGAAAGTTGGTCCTCAGTTGACACAATCAACAGACCCATTGATCTTCATCCGGCCTACCAGGCGCTTCGTACGAGGCTCCAGTCAGTTCGGACCGGGCCGACAGCACTGACGAACAAATCGCGGCTCTCTCAACAGTTGTCACCTTCCCAGCTGGGGGAGAGAGCCATCCGGCTGTCAGACGACCGACGCGCCCAAACAGCCGACCCTGATTCCCACATGCAACGGAGGCTGATCAGCCCGTCAAATTATGGGGGGAGGGCCCAAGGGCACACGGACCTAGCAGCGACAACAGCGACCGGGCAGGAGGCAGAGGTCACACCAGCGCCCCAGCGGACGGCCACGGAGAGACCTAAGCCAATCGCCCGCCAGCAAGCAGGTCAGAGTTCGTGTATCAGGCATGCCTGTAACACGAGACAGGCAGCGAGGCAGAACAACTCTGAGCGTACAGGAACAAACGCACTACCACTACTCTGATGATGGAAACGAGGAAGTTTCCGAAACGTCAGCACCAATACAGTGTGGTCCAGGGCATTGCCTCTTTTTCTTCTTCGTCTTCTTTTGGGGATGATGAGCGGGATAATCTATCTGGACCTCGAATCTTCACAACCTCTCATCCAAACAGCTGACAGACGACCAGATTAAAGTGCTTCAGCACGAATCTGGATACAACACAGGTGACGCGCAGCCACTGGATTTTATTGCGGCATTGGAAGCGACACTCGCAAAGACAGATACAACCGAAGACTCCAAGAACTCCATTCGCCAGCGAGTTTCATCCCTCATCATATCCCACAAGCCACGTCGGACCATCTCCTCGGCCGAATTAAAGGCCATTAGGGAATTAAAGATGGACGAAGAAATAATCATTGTTCCAGCGGACAAAGGACGGGCAACCGTGATCTTGGACAGATCAGAGTACGTCACAAAAAGCCCAGGAACTACTAGACGACAACCAGTCATACAGAGTCGTCGACTCTGACCCCATAAAAACACTGGTAGGCAAAAGTAACAAGGGCTTAAATCAGATGAGGAGCCAAAAGGCGATATCTGAAAACGATTGGAGACAAATGAGACCGCAAGATGCCGCTCCAGCGCGTTTCTACAGTTTGCCAAAAATCCACAAGCCAAATGTCCCCCTACGACCCATCGTAGCGCTGAAAGGCACACCTACCTATGGACTGGCTAAATGGCTTACCAAGCACTTAAAGAAGCTGACGGAAGGCTCCGAACACACAACCGCCTCCTCAACGCACTTCCTAGAAAAAGTCCGAGGCGTGACACTAGCCCCCGATGAGATCATGGTATCCTTTGACGTCGTCTCTTTGTTCACTTCCATCCCTAATGAGTTGGCCATGAGAGTCATCAGTGACCTACTGGAACGAAAGTACGACGATGAAGAAAAACCGTTTAAAAGAAAGCACGTGATTGAGTTACTGGACTACTGCTTATGCACGTATTTCACTTTTAACGGCCATACTTATGAGCAAGTCCAGGGAACCCCGATGGGATCCCCGATCTCCGGCTACCTGGCTGAGGCGGTATTACAGGAACTGGAAACTCGTGTATTTCGGTCCTATAAGCCAAAATTCTGGATGCGCTATGTGGACGATACCTTTGTCGTCCTACACCGAGATGCGAAGGAGGCCTTTCGAGGAGAATTAAACTCCATCTTCCCACAAATCCAATTCACAATGGAGGAAGAAAAGGACGGAACGCTCTCTTTCCTCGACGTGCGGGTAACAAGGCAGAAAGATGGAACACCCCAGACCGGTGTTTTCCGAAAAGCTACAAGCACAGAGAAAATACTCCACTACAACAGCAACCATCCCCTGTCGCATAAACGCAGTTGCGTCCGGACACTTTTCCGCCGCATCAACACGCACTGCAGCACAGAGGCCGAGAAGCTACAAGAGCGTGCGTCCCTGTGGCACATCTTCCTTGTCAATGGATACCCACGTAGCTTCGTAAACAAATGTCTGTTCCAACGACACACAAAGACTGACGGTGAGGCGAAACAAAAACCTGAGGTACTCCGTGTCTTGCCCTGCATGAGGAACGTATCTGAGGCCAATGAGCGTATGCTGAGACCACTTAACGTGGGCGTTGGACACCGACCGGAAGCCACCATCCGCCGATTAGTCATGCAGCCAAAGGGTAGGCTGCCCCCTGAGGACATGTCTGGTGTCATTTACCGCGTCAACTGCCTAGACTGTCAGGCCAACTGTTGCGGCATGACAAACAAACGACTTAAAACGCGCATACATGAGCACACCTTAGCCGTCAAGCGGAAAGATGCGCGCTCACACGTCGCCATGCACTGTCTGGAAAATGACCATCGGTTTGACTTTGACGGCGCCCGAGTGCTCGGCCGAGCGGAAAACAGACTGGCGCGAGAAATAATCGAGGCCTGGCAAACAGACGCCAACTCCACCAACCGCTGCGTCGACCTACCGTCACCATACGAGGCCGCCAAACACCACCTACGCACCAGGGGAGGCCCAATGAGGATAGAAATTGATGACCCTATCAGGCGCGAGCGGGACGGACCTATTTAAACCGTGTAATTTTCTCATATTTCCTATCTCCGATGATGCGCTCGAGTATGAGTATGAAACGTCAGATGAATAAATCATCATCCCCAGAGCTCGCCTTACCATCTTCTTCAATTTAAACACCTGGGGTCAGCATTTTCGCCTACATCCATATATTGAAAAACAGGCATCCCAAGAAATATAATTAGAAAGATGAAGTTCTTTGGGAAACAGCAAAATATATATATATATATGTAGCAGCGAGGAGGGACGAGAGAGAATGCCGGTAGATTGATACATCACTGTTTCGGGCTTATTCTGCCTTCATTCAGCCAATCATAACCCTGACCACCAGCAGCTGGGACCGGAA